ATTTTTAGTGTCAATAATTTTTATTTGAATTATATAACACAAAAAATAACAAAATATCAAAGAAACATGCAACATAAAAAAATCTTCTAAATATTTTAGAGCCAGCCAGTACAATAAGTAAGTTGACTCAAAAGTTTACTAGCTAAGGTATATGAATTATAAAAATTATCCATATAGATAGAGTGGCCAACGTCTAATTTATTTTGCATCAATTTTGCAACAATTTTTTCGGTGTGGCCCTTTCCGGTTGTTTCATCTTCTGTGCTGGCAAACACGTGGAAATTTAAAATCAACATTGAGTTATACAACACTAGAGGAGCAAACCACATTACAGGCGTCGAAAAAAGTGTAACCACTATCCAAACGAGACGACGTAGCTTTGAAACTAATAACAGTTTTAAGTAAACATATATCTATCTCACTTACACAAGTTACGAAAAGAATATCGTCGCTAAGATTAGATAAAGATAGACACACAAACGTGCAATGGCAGGTTGGTGTGGCTTACTATATGAAATTTTACCTAAAATACACAATAAAAATTAGTTTTTTTTTTAAGCTGCAGTTAATTGTTTTTATATTAAAAAAGTATATTTTACTTTAAAATCTTTATTACGTCCCCTTAGAAAAAAAGGATACAAAGCTTATCAAATGAGTAGAAGTAAACATAATGATGAAATAAAACGTATTTTTATGGTAGGTACTAATAAATCAAACAATATAAAATAGGTAATAAAATATAATTAATATAAAATTTATATGAAATTATAAATAATATAAAATTATTAATATAAAATAGGTAATAAAATATATTTAACAGATAATTCACGAATAAACTAAAATAAGAATAATTAATTATTTTCTATGAAAGTTAAAACGTAGTTTTTATTATAATTTCCAAAATATTTAAATTCAGAGGTAACAAATTAACTTACTCCATTAATTATATAGTCTCCCATTAATATAGGATAATCACAAATGAGGAAAAGTGGCAACATTGAACCTAAATGGCAATATTCAATAATTTTATTTAATTATTTGAGGTTCTTTACGTTTATATGAAAACAAGAACTAAATATTATGTGTTGAAGTGATTCCGCTTGATTTATTACGTTTTGTGACCTTGAATAGCATTCTTTCACTACGCATTTACCCATTTTTGACGCGGCTCAACTCTGTCGGCGTCACATTGAACAATGAACTCACGTTAGCTAGGCATATGGCTGTGGCCATATGTGCAGTGACAACGCTTTGGCGCGGTTATTACTGATCTAGTGTTATATAAATCAATGAAAATCAAGCCATCCAGTTCTGTGAGCACGTATAGTTTGATGCCATACTTGTGGCGCTTTCATTTGATGTATTGTCGGAAAAGCTTCAAGAATATCCGATTCGTGCAACAAAATACGTTTTGATTGCGCTTGCAAAGGTATCTCGTTTGATCGTTTCGAACCCCTAGAGGTTGATGATCACTCATTATAAATTTTGTTTTATTATAATTAGTATCACTTTATACTAAAAAAAATACGTATTATTTGTTCACAACTAACTAAAAACAAACAAGAAAGCCGTCCGGCTCGAGAGGCGACGCTAAGCGAAGTAACCTGGAACTACCCAATTACATAGCACTAAAACTATCGCATGATTCGGATAGCCACGCCCACTTTACGATAGCTTAGTCCTTTCTCTAGAGGCCCATAAAAAACACCGTTGCGATAACGCTCCGGCCCAGGCAATACGCTTCATACAAAACTTGTCAGACACTTCACGCGACGTCGCGTGAAGGGCCAAAGAGTACTGGGAACACGCGACGTCGCGTGATTGGCAATTAACGTGTTAGGTAGGTAGATCAGTTATTTTCGCAAATAACTAAAACATGTTTGGTCTTGGTTAAGTTAGTTTTACGCATAAAGTTTTAACACACGTAGGTATATAGGCTGTAATTTAAATTTATAAATTTATCTCCATGTTGGCAGCATTGAGAGCAGTACAACCATTACTGCAGAGGTTTATAATTATGTTTAAATACATAGGAAACATCAGCATTAAGCTGCTATTTTACGCTGGTATTCTGTGAGAGCGTGGTCCTTCCCCGGTTGAGCCGACCCATCCGTGCTGTAAACATTACATAATTGCAGCATCGCTAATTTTTAACATTTTTTTTATTTAAATTTATTCCAAAATAGCTTGTCCCCCGCGCGTTGCTGCCACAGAAGTAACAATTGTGGAAATATCGTTTTATATTTTAAGAGTTATACAGTTTAATTAGGAATACATTGAATTTGTAAATAACTTTTAAATAAATTTGTCGGTACGATACGTGCGCCTCCTATTTTGTAATTTAATTGTAATATGCCTATAATCTTCGCGCAAATGCTAGCGTTTGGCAGTGCACAAAATATACGAACAATTTTTTTTTTTATATATTAGATTACTGATTTTATCTATATTTTTAGTAGTTAGTTTCACTTCTTCGAGTATCGTTTCACATGCTTTAAGCATAGAAAATCTCTTTGATTCCTAAATATAACTATTTAGGCTTTAACTACGGCAAATTTAAACATACTCAATCAATCTCCTTCAGACTTTTAATCTAGAAATACGATGAGGCGTGGGGGAAATATTTTCTTTCACCAATTAAAGGATTGCAATGGGGTGGCGGCTTAAAAAGACCCATTACCGTAGTTCGTATGGGTTCACTTTACCAGAATAGGAACACGTTCTCACAAAATACCAGCGTAATAGAGCAGCATGCCGTTTTGTTTTGTACGGTAAGTGATGAGAATACATAAATAGTAACTAGACATTTCGTCTTTATCATCAGAGATTTTTTATTAGATAAGGGTGACAAACGAGCACACAGTCCGTCTGATGGTAAGTGGTTGTTGTGGCCCATAGACATCTACATCTATCCTCGATTACGAATCATAATGCAGATGCGTTGTCAGACGTGAGCATCAAGATGGAATGTCTCGTTTGCAGTTAAAAGAGTCCCCTTTTCTCTACAATCACCATACGAATTACAGCATCGTTAAGCTCCCGGTCGAGCCGAGCTATTCGTGCTGATTTTTTTACATGCTGCATCTATTAATATAGCTGCAGCATGTAAAAAAAATCAGGGACGACAGTACATTCGCTGTTTGATTCCTAATAGATGTAGGTGTACAAGCCACATCATCGACTTAGGGAAACACTATACGTTAATAGGGCTCGTTTGTCATCCTGTATAGATAATAAGAAAACGAATAATGCCAAGAATTGATAGAAATGATTAATCAATGTTACATTTTAATAAGCACTAGCTTTCTGCTCCGGCTTTGCACGTGTGGTTTTTGGATCTCGACAACAGCGTCATCTACCGGGTCCAAATGTAAATCTAAGCCATCTAGAGACCCATTCAAACACAGACAATTTTTTTTTATAAAATCAGTCGAGCTGATTTTGAGTTGTAACGAGACTAGCGGACGGCAATTGATTCTTATTCACAAATCTTAATACGCTGCTGTCCTAGACATCAGTTACGCCATAGAATACAGCAGTTTTAATTATAATTAAAATTTGGTGCCGGACGGGCGAAACTCTCCGGAGTAAATGTTGTCGAAGATACTTCGCGAGTCGCTCACGTCCTACACCTATAGGTTCCGGTGGGTACTCTCACCGCCGTCTTTGTTGGTGCCGCTGAAATATTGTGGACTGTAGTTAAAATCAAAATGCACGATTAACAAATACAAATAGCAAGGTAGTGGCCAGCGGTTCGACTGATTGATTAGTCGCGAAATTTTATAACTATTTATCACGGTTGTTTAACTATGGTTGTTCACTGTATATTTCAAAAGATTTCTTTAAATTGTACGGTGCTATCAAATATCTATTGGTAGTAGCTGGTTTTCTAACACTACTGACTAGCAGCTATTATCAACTAAACTAGCTGATTTTATCACTTGTGTAACTGCGGATATCAGTTACCACTTTCACTATATATAACTGCGAATATCAGTTACGACCTTTTTAGGCTAGTTAACACTTTCACTTACTGCGAATATCAGTTACTTTTTAGCGCTAATACTATATATGTAACTGCGAATATCAGTTACGACCTTTTTAGGTTAGGTAACACTTTCACTATGTAACTGCGAATGTCAGTTACGACCTTTTTCGGTTAGCTAACACTTTCACTATTCACTATATACTGCTATTAGTCACTTCAGCTACCACCGGATACCACTCACTTCACTTCACTTGTCACTGGTAGTTCTTCACACTACTACGGGCTACGGGTACTGGGTCCCGAGCCCCTAAGGTAGACTTTAGCAATACTTTACAGTGAGCCGCTTGCCATTTTCCGTTTTGCCTCTTTATTGCATAAACATTTCACTATACAAATGGCATAAATTGCAATATTCTCTATACAAAATTAATTGCTACACTAACATGCTATATATCATTAAATCGGTAGTCTGGTACTTTATTAGTATATCATAAAGGTTATTAAAAACATTAACATTGTAAAAAGTTATTAAACGAAATGTCCCAAATTTTCATAATATTTGGGTATTTTAATTCTTTAATTTTTTCTATAACTACGAAATGCGTTTAATTATAAAAAATATTCCTATACTTCTTTAATCTATAAGCCATATGCTAATTAAATGTCATATTTATAACTCTTTTAGAACATAAAATTATTTTCCTTATTTTTAATATGAACTATTACGCAGTTAATTAGAAAACTTCTAGAGAGTTCTACGATAAGACGCGCTGTGATTGGTCGATTTTTTGGTATATAATAAAAGTTGTTTATATTACTTGTTAACAAAACGACATTCTATACAAACATACTAAGAGTTATAAATATGCTCAACAACTATATTAATACATGTTTTCACTCAGTTTTCTTGGTAATTTCACTATTAATACATAAAACAATATTCTTTATCACTTTGTTTCTTAAGGTTTTTAGGCCGTCGCGAACAAATTTTAATAAATTATTTCTGTTTCAGGTCACTTCTTATATCTGCCAGTGGACCCAACTATGGAGAACATGGTAATTAAATCACCGCCGTTCCGTGGACTCTCCGAATTTTGTAAGGTAAGTCACAGTGGCAGAAGTGATGTAACAACATATTTAACACCTTATTCACTCACTTCAACTTCGTCACCACTTAGAATCAGGTGGGATTATAGTTAAGCGCTGACTTAGAATAGTTACTGTCCTGCTACTAAAGCCGCTGCGATGCATCATACGGCCTCATTCTTAACTTTTTAACTAACATAAACCTGTAGTTTAATAACAAATAATGAACAAACAATTAAGAAAAACAAAAGGCGGTCTTATTGCTACATAGCTATCTCTTCCACACAACCCAGAAGAGGAAATTAATAAAAATAAAAATAAGATTAACGGGTAGGGTGCACTAAATTAGAAAAAAAACGCAAACTTATATACTAAAATAACGACATACTTTCGGTAGATTAATGACCATAACTAAGAGGAGGAAATGAGAGGAGTTAAAGAGACAAATAGTGTTCCTTAATCTGATTCTTGAACACATTTAATGATTGAGCACTTTTAATTGACTGGGGTAAGGAGTTCCAGAGTCTTACTCCAAGAACAGCAAAAGATTTATCATAAAATGTCGAGGAGTATACAGGACATTGGAGCGAAAGATTTTCTTTGGACCGTAAGGAAAAGTCGTGACAAGAGCTAGGAAATATAAAACGTTCTTTTAGATAAGGAGGACTTGATAAGATGCAGTAGAGCGCAGAAAGTATACGAGTGTTTCAACGAAAACGGATTGGGAGCCACTTGAGTTTAGTGCGGTAGGTATTCCGAGACATGGTCATATTTACGAAGCCCAAATATGAACCGTATAGAGAGATTTTGGAGTCGCTCAAGTTTGTTAAGTTGCTCCACAGTGATATCAAGGTAACAAATGTCAGCATAGTCGAGGATAGAGAGTAGCAAAGATTGTGCAAGCGTAATTTTGGTGGAAATGGGTAAAAAGTAGTTAAGCCTCCGGAGTGAAGCATATGCTGCAAAAATTTTTCGGCTCACTGCATTAATTTTTGTTAATAAGAGGGGCAAACGAGCATGTGGGCACACCCGATAGTAAGTGACTACTATGAACAACTGTAACACCAGGCGAATTGCAAATGATAACATGGTGATATTTGATGATAAGTGGTGATGTAGCCGAAGATGGTGCAACGCAGTGATTTAGATTAACAAAGGCCTATTCACCTTTGTCTTAAATACATCCACCTTATCAGTAAATGGAAAGAAAATTGCTAGCAAATTATTCCACTCCATTGTTGTACGCATTATAAACGTTGAAGCAAACCATTTGGTTTGAATATGTGGTACCTATATCGACAAGGAAATTACAATCGACAGTAATGGAGATTGGCCGAGCTGTTGACCAATGGTGGAAGTGGAGAGGGGGGTACTAAGTCACGTCATTCAATTATACATCTCGGTCCGAGATGTTACGGAGGTTCGATTCCGATTACGAAAGTTCGGAACTTCCGATTGATTTTGCACCCTCAATTCCGGTTTCGGTTCCGATAAATTTTAATCGGAAGTTATATCGGAGGTCGATGCCACGGTAAATATTACCGTGTCGATGCATAGCGGCGGTGGCGGCAACTGTCAGCGCGTACGAACAAGGTTATACTTGTTGCGTGGGGAACCTCCCTGAAATGATTGCTTTGCAGGATATTCCCTTCAATTTCGTGGAAGGTATTGGATTCAGACGACTTATGCAGTTTATAGTGCCGAATTATCATTTAAGGCGAAGACAGTTTTCTACCGAATGTATTTGTGATGAATAATGTGTGTAATTTTATTTTATTAGACAAGCCCTTAACACACACCTATCTCTTCTACCTTCACCTCCGATTCCAGTTCCGGTTCCGACAAATCAAATTTAAAAACTGCTTCCGAATTCGGTTCCGATATAATCACTTCCGTAACATCACTAACCTTGGAAGAATAAGCCAATGTGACCCTCTGTGACCATGGATGGTGTAAAACATCCGAAACGTCGGGAATTAAAATAAGGAAAAATAAATTTAATACCCCGTAGAGCCTTGTTATATAGCTCTATTATAGTACGTAGGTCACCCATTAAGTTTTGAGATACTCGAAATTTAAAAATGGAATGCACCCGTGTTATATGTTTCTAAAAAGCGAATTTATTTAAAAATAGAACTCCATAAGCCAATCGCTCAATATTAAAAAAAAAACAAAGTTCTATTAATTTACCTGCAACGCCTCCCACGCTTTTCATTTAAAACGATGGATCTTAACCGTGAACATTTTCGCGCTATGATCTATTATGATTTTAAATTTGGGTTAACCGTACAATTAAGTTTACAACGGTTACAATTAGCATTAGGTGACTCAGCTCCATCACGCGCAAAAATTTTAGGTGGTTTTCTGAATTCAAAAGGTGTAAAACTAACCTTAAAGTTAACCAAAGAACCGGGCCCCGCAAATAGCAGTAACGGCAGAAAATGAATGTATGGACTACTGAAATGTTGGTGCGAGAAGACCCACGAATCACATATACGGACATCGAAAAGATTGTAGGCATTAGTTCGGGGAGCATTCATACCATGCTACATCAACATCTTGGCGTGAGTAAGCTTTGTTGACGATGGATCCCTCGTTTGCTCTCCGAAACCGAAAAACAGACTCGTGTCGGCCATCTAGGCGTGTTTCAGAAATCGTTACTAGTGACGAGACATGGATCTATCAATATGATCCGGGAAATAAAAGGCGAATAAAAGGCGGTATGGGTCTACCCAGAAGGACAGTTACCGACAAAACTGCAAAGACCTCGCAACGTCCGCAAAAAAATGGTGGCTAGTTTTTTTATGTGTGTGAAAAGTGAAAAGATGTAAAATAAATATTAATAATATCTAGAATACTTTTTGTATATCTCAAAACTTGTTGAGTGTCCTACGTACTAGCATGAATGGGTCGACTCGATAGAGGAAGGATCACGCTTTCACAGAATACCAACGTAAAATAACTTAATGCTGCTATGTTTCTGGTCACCCTTGAAGACTAAAATGGAGGCATTCCATTCTAGTCCTCAGGGGTGACAACGCATCTAGATCTTGATTCTTCATCGGAGATTAATGTAGATCACAGTATCCACTTACCGTCAGATAAATTCAGTAAAATTAATTTAATTATAAATATAAGAAATCATTATGAAACAACGTTATAACGTGGTAGAGTCATGCTGCAGCTATATTAATTGTATAGTTGTAAACGAACGGGTTGGCTCGACCGGGGAAGGACCACGCTCTCACAAAATACCAGCGTCAAATAGCAGCTTAATGCTGCTGTGTTTCGTATGGTGAGTGTAGAGAACCGGAGACACTTTTTACTGGAAAAGAGGCATTCCATCTTAGTCTTCAAGGCTGACAACGCATCTTCATTTTGATTCGCAAACGAGGATAGATTTAGATGTCTATGGGCCACAGCAATCACTTACTTTCAGGTGGACTGTGTGCTCGTTTGTCACCCTTTTCCTATAAAAAAAGTCAACTGGCCCCACAAGAGACACGCTTGTATTTAAATATATTATTTTTCTACGGTGCAGTTCGAAGCAAGGCTTCATCAGAGCAAGATGCAGAACGCGAGCATAAGGCTGGTGTCGGAGTCTACGATGTCAGAAGTGCAATGGATACTACAAGAAGTTGCAGGAAACAATTTTGAAATGTAAGTTTGGACACCTCCTTATAATGTAAATTTATAATGTCCTAAATAGGTTACAGGCCAGAGCCCACCTTTAATTTAAAGCAATCCACGTTACCAATTTAAAGATTATCCCAAGCACCACTAAGATTAAAATTAGTTTACACAGATCTCTATTTATTTACATAACGTATTAATATTTATTATAATAATAGAAAAAGAAAATTAAACCAAAAAACTAAAATTATCACATAGTCTTAGTCCCTGCGATACAGCGCTAAGAACACTGGCATAGTAAAAATATAATAGAAAAAATCTCTCTTTTTTTTTTTTTTTTTTTTTTTTTTTTTTTTTTTTTTTTTTTGCGCCCGAAGCAATTAAAGGGCTACCCTATACGTAGGGAGGCGGAAAATACGCATACCACGATAGCCGGTCTATCGTGGTTATGAGGGGCTCACTGTCCTACCGGGGACCCTAAGTGATACCCTCTAAAAACCGCCTTTGGGGACAGGCAACCGGCTGATTAAGCTCTATTGTGCCTTATCACGAGCGACCCTCTTTTGGGAAAAGAGGGCGCAGGCGGCTAAGTGCCGCTGAGGGAGTGCCTACGAAGGCAGATTAATGTTAGATACTACAATAATTTTATTTAATTAGAGTTGGCCTGAGCTGCCAGGAGACAGTTCAGGTCGTTTGAAAGTTTATTAGGCGGGGCCGAGAGAGATTTTCTCGGCCTGCGGACACGATAGCGAGAGGGGGGGGGGGCTGCATAAGAAGGTGCCTCACGAATTAAATGGTTTGGGTGCGACTCTGAGGCTTTGAAGAAGTTCTCAGAGAGTTTTTTAAAAAATTGTTGAATTGTTGGAAGCTCTAAGTCCCGATGAAGGTCGGCATTACGGACGTACCACGGTGCGTTCGCAGCTCGACGACAGAAGAGGTTCTGAACTATTTGGAGTTAATTTAAAATGTTAGGGTTTGCGTGGGCAAAGACGGGGCCCGCGTAGGACATGAGCTGGAAGAAATCTCGCGCCGCGCGAGATTTAAATATCTACTGTTGCAGGGTTGTCACTGTCTTTTTGTTTAACAGCTAAGTCTCATTTAGTTTTATAAGTAGTTATAATATTTACAAACATAATGCATATGGATACGTACCTATGCATCATATTTGTTAATAATTTTTTTAGTTTCCTCTCAAGGAATCAATGTTTGTCAAAAAAAATCCAGCTTTACATTACAACAAAATGCCAAATAACTAAAATACGAGTAAATTAACACTGACACTTAGCATATGGTGTCAGCTCGGATTTAAAGTTTAAAATTAATATGATGTGATGTGATAAGATATTTTTTTTACTAAAACATGTGTGAGATATATTGTGATATTATAATTAATGCACTTATGAGGTATGTATTTATGTATAGACATAGTAATATAACCTATTAATAAAAATCTAATTTACTTACAAAAACCCATATCTTAATTTATTTAACAAAAAGAAAAAATAAAACGGATAAAAGGCTACTAGCAAAGTTTTACTCAAAGTCAACAAAGTCTCAAAGGTGATTGTGGAGCGCGGCGGTGGCCGTCTCCGACTCGGCCTAACCTTTCCGACTTAGCAAGTGTCGTTGTGTGCGTGCTGTGGCTCGTGCGTACGAGTTCGTATTGTCACCTGCCGGGCACGCACACATATTAGCGGCGTCGGTACATTTCTTAGAAGATAGTCTACTATTTCGTTTTTACTATGCCACTGGCTCCGTTTCCTCGCTGAATGCCTATAGTTAACCTTTGAGAGAGAAAAGATCCAGTATTTGAGTGGGTTCCTGCATGGTTCAAAAACACAATTGTACACGATAATTGGCGCTGTGGTTGAGATCCAGAAATCACCCGTGCAAAGACGGGGCGGAATCCTAGTCTCTTATAAACATAAGACCTATAAGTCGACATGGGAACAATCATACACTAACATATAATATAAGGTTTGAACAATGAAACATTTTGGTATGTTTTTTTAAGTGATACTCTATTTTTAACGTTGTTCCAGCTGGTACCCATTGCGTTTCATGATTGGAAAAATGCAGCAAGAAGTGCGCATAATCGTCGAGGTTACGAGGCCCTCGTACGTCAGCCTAGTGCAAAGCTTGCCCCACATCGCTTTCGACAACATCCGGATGGTGGAATGTCTACCAGAACCCCCAGTCTTCAATGGAGAATGTCAGCTTAAACAGCTGAAGTGCACTATTATGAATGTAAGTACTTTAAATAAAAGAGGTCCTGTTTGGTGCTCCTTTCGGAAACACTCAAAATTGTTTAATTGTTACTGAGTAAAAATCACAGAATACTTTTACTCCTAGCGGAGAGTAAACATTCGTAATTCATGTCAATGTAGATGTCACTTATAACTTTCTAGGTTTCCTAATAGTCAATTTTTCTTCAAATACATAAAGTATTTTTAAGCTAAATTTAAAAAATATTAGAGGACAGTGTACATGTTTTCTGCTGTCTAATCTATTTATTTAAATCAAAGATAACTATAGTTATAAGTTTACAATAACCAGGGGGGATTTACCTTGTAGGGGTAATATGAGAATATCGACTACCCCATCGTCCCGTAAGTGTCGTAAGATTCGACAGAAAATCGAATCAGAAGATAGTCAACAGTGTCTTCCTAATAACTAGCAAATAAAAATCTACGTATGCCAACCCGTCCGCCCAGCATGGAAATTATGACAAATATAACGCATATGAGGTAATCTATAGAGGCAAATCTTTGATAGTCGATTTGATAGGCTGTAATGATAATGATGAAATCTAAAACATCGATCACGAGCCTATTACAAAAACTTCAGTTAAGCAATGAATTGCATTGAATGAATTCAGCAAGCAATCGATAAATTAAAAGAAATTGTTTCGTTTAAAGGCTACACAAAAATCATAGGAAAATGTAACCCTATTGCGCTCTTGAAGATATGTATATGTATCTTCTAATGAAGACAAATTGATTAAATTTTGGCTGTAAACAAGATCCTCATCATCAGTTCATAAAGAGTCCGTAACTTGGCATTGGTTAGGTGAATCGCCACCGAGCTAAATTAAACGTAAGTTTGATGCTATTTCTAGTGCCTTTCGAAGTTTAAGTTAGTGTGTTAGTACTATTATTTATTATGAGTTTAGTACGATTTTATTACATTGCCACAGTTTAAATAATAATACTAATGTAACCTGTCATAGTTGAGCATTGAGTACCACTATCTGAATCTACAATATCTTCCAGTTATAGTCCTTGATTGATTCTTATAGACTTCTAAAGCTGTTACGTTACGCTAGTATTCATAAACAAGTCATGATTTTACCATTTGAAGCTGTAGGCTACTTAGAAATCAATATTAAATAAGATTATTGAATTGTTTACTCGCAGAAGGAATCCTGCATCAAGTTGCAGCAAGTCTGCGATCTAGTCAAAGACTGCGATGACGGCAGCGATGAAAATCAAAATTGCGGTATGTTGTATATTTTGTTGATTTTCGAATCCCATTGCCTTTTTATTACGAATTCTATAGCTCACTTTTCATCCTACAATGCAAAACTGTTAGATATATTGGGGGTAAGTAATTCAACAGTTTTGCAAAGGGGATAACTTTAGAGAATATATCTGTTCTGACGTTAAGCGAAACTAATAATTGCGTTATTATGATTTTATGTTTTCGACATTGATGGGATATTTTTAACTATTAGCCAGTATTTCTTTTATTATATGCGAGCAGCTATGCAGGTCTAGGTAAAGAAAACAGTATCACTGCGACCTAGAAGATCTATTGTGATCGCTGCTATGGCTATAGTTCACTGCTAAGCCCTATGTCTTCAATGAATCGAAGGAGTTGTTTAGCCGTGAGCAATTTCACTTCTTCTGGGCGGAGTACATAGTTTCCCAGATGAGTGTTACGTTTGCGCATTAAGGGTCCGCAATCAGTTAGGATGTGTAGAGGCGTTTCTTCCGTTATGGAACAGAACCGACACATCCTTGAATTGCTTAGTCCCAGGATGGACATGTGCTTTTTAAGACAACAGTGTCCAGTTAGGGCTCTTGCCAGAATGCGCAATTTATTTTTACTTAATCCCAGGGCTTCTGAAGCGAATTTATTAGCCAGTATACTTGACTATATACATATCATGAAAATTAAGAAAATCTTGTTGCTATTTCACACTAGTATTCTGTGAGCGCGTGCTACTTCCCCTTACGAGCCAACTTATTAGTGCTACTGCTACAACCATAATATATGTGGCTCTACCACCTACACTTTCCTTGTTTACTTCTACTTTTCCTTTCCCTTTTGACCTATTAGACATAGAGGAAGTGGGACCAACTCCGTAGTGGCTGTTAGGGTTCCCTTTTTGGGCTCCTCCATCTGCGTTGGTTGTACTCTGTTACCTATATCTGCATTCAACCATCTCTCGCTGCTGTGTTCCAGTTTGAAGCATAAAAAAGCCAGTATAGTATCAGATTGCGACGAAATTCATCTTAGTCCTTTAGGGTGACAAGGCATCTTTGCCTTCTTTGTTTGAAGATGATTGCAGAGACTATTTACCATGAGTTTTAGCATTACTCGTAGCTCGTTTATAACTATAATTTTATAAATAAAACTTTATACTTAAAAGTACTCGTATAGAGCCACGCTGCAGCTATACTATGGTTGTAGCACGAATGGGCCGGTTAAGGACCACGCTCTCACAGAATACCAGCGTAAAATAGCAGCTTAATACTGCTATGTTTCGTATGGTGAGTAAAGAGATCCGGAGACCCTCTTTTACTGGAAACGAGGCATTCCATCTTAGTCCTCAGGGGTGACAACGCATCTGCATTTTGATTCTTAATCGAGGATAAATATAGATGTCTATGGGCCACAGCATCCACTTACCATCAAGTGGACTGTGTGTATGTTTGTCAGCCTTATTCTTTAAAAAAAAAGTAAGAAATGGCAGCAACAATAAACGAACGAAACGAAGAAACGTAAAATTCTGTTTGTTTAAGTAATAAAGAGACACATGGAAAACATGTCAACTATGACAGTTCTCCATTGCATCATCATCATCGTCACAACAGCCTATCAAAAGTCCATTGCTAAACATAAACCTCCCCCATAAATTTTTTTTTTGTTTAAATTAAATAATATTAACAATGCTATAAACATTACTAATATTCCCCTTAACCACTCGTGGTAAGCTTAAATTGCTTGTGTTACGAGTGATTCACGCCAGTAGTCGAATGGCGGATTCGAACCCACGACCTTTTTGATTTCGCGGTCCGCGTCCTGCCATTAGGCTACTGTCTCCCATAGATTGCTTCATAATATATATATTCCATTGTCACCGCGCTTGGCAGGTTGATTGGCAGTCGCAGTTTTTTTATTATCTTGATCTGGTATGAGAAAGATGTTATTGCTCATATTCGTTTTCTACTGTCCACCACAGTCCACTACACGACCACTAAATAATCTAGGGCTTCACCACACCAAAAATAAGTGCCAGTGCCAGTTTGACTTTCAAAATATATTTTACTTATAGTAGAAAGCTTTCAAAATACACCTTGTTTGAAATAATACTAGTTTTTACGGAATTTATCGCGTATATTTAACTTTTTAATTACCCGACGTTTCGAGAGCTTTACAGCACCCATGGTCACGGGAAGGACTGAGATGTTCAACGTCCAGCTGTCATAGTTAACCGCGGTTACCATAGATTAAAATTTAACTTTTGTTCCGATCTACACAGTATGAACTTATGGTACGTTCCTGTACATGTTCACAGACTGCAGACTTCCCATGTACACACATGACATCTACAGGATCGCCCCCGTCACTACATCAGATTTGATAGACCACAAATCCTCGCTAAAGAACACCGATTCCTTCCAAGGATGATTCGCGAGGCTATTGAAATCAAAAAACATCCTAATTTCAATAGAGAAGATGGCTGGGTGCTACCATCTGCTTGGGATCCTATAATAAATAAAATTAAATCCCAACCCAAGCATACAACTGCAAGACTCCATGATACCATAAGTTCATACTGTGTAGATCGGAACAAAAGTTAAATTTTAATCTATGGTAACCGCGGTTAACTATGACAGCTGGACGTTGAACATCTCAGTCCTTCCCGTGACCATGGGTGCTGTAAAGCTCTCGAAACGTCGGGTAATTAAAAAGTTAAATATACGCGATAAATTCCGTAAAAACTAGTATTATTTCAATGTGTAGTGTTCGCGTAAATATAAGAAATCATTATACACCTTGTTTGTTCCTCCAAATTTATTTACAAATAATAGAGTATCCTTTCATCTTTACAGACAAGATGCCCTATGGGTCGTACTGCAACTTCGAGCAAGACGCCTGCGGATTTGTCAACATACCACAGTGAGAATTTATTTTATTATATAACGTTTAATATTGTTACGAGCTTGGGGTTCGTGACAATAAAAACTGCCGATTGAATTACCAAAATTGACACTTTAATTACCGAACACCAATTATGACTTTAAACACACTAATAATTAATCACAATGGTCACTTTGGTCCGCAATTATATCGCTTCGAAGTATTTTCTAGTATATTTTACGCCAATTCAATACTGACTCGGGTCGCCGTCAATATCTGTATTATATAGGACCTTTACTACTGAAACATCTAGAATGTTCGAGTACATACCGGTCCCGACCGACTAGGTGAAGAAAGTTCTCTCCTAGTTCTGTCACTCGATACTAAATGGCGTTAGTGGAAAGTTCTAGTATGGAATTTTCTAAAAAGCCCTCCTAGTTCTGCTACTCGATACTAGATGGCGCTAGTGGCATTAATTATGGCGTGCAACAGTATAAAATAAAATTAAATCTATTTTTACAAGGTCTTCACTAAAGTGAAGTACCGCCATGTTTCACCACCGCACATCGCGGTGAAATGCCCAAAACCATCAACAAAATCTGGATGCCTGGCGGTCTACCACTATGCGATTTACTGAGACAATTTAAGGAGAACAAATGTGCTTAATCTACTTTAAAACGCCGGTAATTTACCTGCGATTCCTCTAGTGTTGCAGTTGACTACTTATCATAAAGTGAGCCGCGTGCTCATTTGCACTCTCATAAAGGCTAATCACAAAATAAATAGTAGCATGAAGCGTTACACATAATATTAAAGACGTTAAAAGTTAATTAGCTAAGGTCCGGATAGTAAAAAAAAGCTTTTTCACTTAGCGGTTAATCACTGCAGAGCCTATTTCACTTGACGATACCTCGTTTAGAGGCGAAACACACGTCTATGTATTCCTAGTGTAGTTGTGAGGGATTAGTGGAGTACTGGTGCTGGTGTTTGTGGTGATTGGGATAATGCACGCAATTGAGGAAGTGATACTCTACAAACCGACAAGATATTATTTTTTCTTCGGATCTTAGCTAATTAATTTTTAACATCTTTAACCATTGATAAAAACATGACTTTTGATCAGTGTTGCGCGCCATAATTAATGCCTCGTACATGGAGACATTAGTTACCGCTAGCGCCCTCTAGTATCGAGTAGCATAACTAGGACAGTCAAGATCCTTGTAGAGATTTCTATGCCAGAACTTTCTACACCTAGTCAGTCGGGACCGGTATGTACTCGAACATTCTAGATGTTTATGTAGAAGAGGCCGTATATAAGGCCACACTATTACCTCGCTAAGGTAACACTATTAACTCGCCTTCATGTATATCTGTCTGTTCTTGGCGAATTTAATAATTGATTTTAAACTAACTTTCCAATGAGCTAGGGAATTGAAATTTCGAATGTAGCTCAGAACTGGATAACAATGTAAGAATATGAAACGTGATAAAAACACAAAGAAGTCTTTTGAAAATCGAGTCATTTATTTGTTATTGTTTTTGGTCAGGTGTAGTGATTATCACTCCGACACTACATCCGAGGCTATCTTCGATTTAATCGTATAATATGTCCAGCTGTGGACTTTAATGTCTCAATAAAGCAAAAGGATAAGCGTTATATAATAATATCCTACAGAACGAATTTCAGTCACGGCGGCCAGTCTTAGCGAAGACTAGCCATCGGCGCAGGACAGGATTATAGTGCCCAAGTGTACGCGTAAGCACAGGTGCAGTCTCTATTGCCTCACTCTCATAATCCGATGAGACGGCAATCCGACACGACTGGAGAGAGATCAGGCGCAGGGTCACCGGCTTTGCGTGTTTTTCGAGGCACGGGGGTAAGACACCGCTTAATGACTCCGGGCTGCTAATGAGAATTTTTTGACAGAAACAAATAATTAATGATTTGGCCCGACCCGGTATTCGAATCCCGTAATTAGCAACCGTGTTTTCGACTACTAGACCAACATGGCAGTCAAGCAATCATCCAATTGGCACAGTAAATTATCAGATGAATTATGATAATTTACTATGCCGATTGGATTTAAAATTAAAGTTAAAATTAGGTCTTGGTTTCACATTTTACCATTAAAGTTATCTTATAAAATCATGTTTAACTCTACAATATTTTGTTTCAGACCGATTCTAAAATGGTCCCGCCACAGCGGGCCAACGCCGACCGACAAAACCGGTCCAAATTACGACCACACCTGCGGTCCTCCCGACCAGTACACTGCCATCCCAATCCCTCCTCCCCTGTTCCCTGCCCACATGAACCATTCCCTCACCCAGTGCATCGGGTACTATTTCTTCGTGAACATGAATGTGACCGGCCCCAATAAGGAGAAGGCGGATTTTGCGTCGACCGCTGTTATGCGGTCTGTTATTTTTAATCCGCCCCCGAAGGTGCACGGTGATATACATTCGAAGTACTACAACTGTTGTATGGTAAGTCACCTAACTTAATTATCCCTGTACCCTCTTACTGTAGATCCCTAACTGTAGGTGTCCTGACTGTTCAATGTCGCGAAAATCGGGCTACTGCGAAATTTTACTCGCCGCGTGCTCTTTAAAAATCAAAATCAAAAATATTTATTTCTTCAAAAAAAAAACGTATATCCATATAGTATTTATTGTTGTAATTGAGTATATCTTTCTTATATATATATAATATATGTCATTATTGACGAAGTACATTTTTATTTTTATAATAATAAGGGTATAATTATTATTATTACAATTATAACAGCAATTTACCAGAAACATAAGGCATGTAACTAGCTAGTTCTTTTAAAACTCTTTTGGTTTACAAATCTCTTTATTGACAACTAATTCCTGTTAAAACAACTATTTATTCGATTATCAACTTTTAACTCAAAAATATTGTTTTAAATCGTAGAATAAATAATTGTCAATTTGATTATTAATCCTGGTAATTGAAATTACTTAAGTAACCTAATAAATTCAATAAAAAGTTATTGTTTAGTGAAGTATTGACCAATCAAATCGTCGACCAATCAGAGCACACCTAAGTCGTTATTACGTTTTCCTTATTGTATGAACGCGGGAATAGAATCACTTCTGTTCCGGCGCTCGTCGGTGTAGTCCTATTTTCCTGGTAAAGCTTTGTGATTATTATTTGTGAGTTTTTTTTATAAAAAGAAGTGTAGAATAAAGTTATTGTATATATACAGTAATCTATGGTTATTGTGGTATAAAATTAAAAGTGTGTGATCTTAGATCTCTTTCATTATAATGGACACAATATACGGTAGCACGACTGAACCCTTGTCAAGCGGGGACAGGGTGCTGCCTCACAATAAAAAAAACCCCGAGGTCTCCGCTCCGACATATATATTATATATATATATATATAAAATGATGCCCTTTCATGATGCTTACATACTATACGTTGGATGTTTCGATCTTCCTTAAATCCAGAATATACATTTTTACCAGATCTCTGTTTACGAGTAGATACAAAGGAAAAACTATTGTTATAAATCATAATATTCGTGGATTAGGCAACCCGATATTACAAAATTTTACCCCAAAATACTCCACTATCGATTCGACAAGTACTGCAGGACACTTTGTGAGAAGAAGCGACAAGAAATTTCACAAATACCTTATTAGACGGTTTTACACGACTAACTTAGGATTAAGACGATCTTAATAAAAGTTACATCGTGGATACAGTTTTCTACATTGCGTATAATTAGTATAATTAATCAAATATTTAATTTTCCATCCATCCATTACATCATGAAGTTTACTGTTGAATAATGATTTCTTTAATATAATGATTTTTTGAGTAGTTTTAATCATTTACTGTTGAACATAGGCCTCCCCCTCCCCCATAGATTGCATCATAGAGGGGATTTTGTTTAGCGACAGTAATGGCTCGTCAGACTTTGTGCAAATTCGACCGCCGACTTCTTTATGCCAATTTACACAAATAAGCACTACTGGATGTGACTCGCACAAACTTAGTGTTATTAGCGGTATAGTAGATTAGTTTTGATAGTTAAGAACAATCTGATTAAGTAACATGTTTTAAAATTTTATATCTTGAATGAGCTGTTGTAATATTTATATTATTTTTCATTTCGAAGTAACTTAAATAATTGATGTTTTAGTCTATTAAGCAGATGTTAACTTAGATATTATGTATTTGTAGTACGTGAGGGTAATAAGGTTAACCGGTTAATATGGCTGCTTTCTTATAACTCAAAAACTACAGCCTTGTTTGCATATATAGCTCTGTGGTACGATAGCTCTTCATCGGTCAATCAAATAATAAAGGGTTAAAAAGGCGCTGCTTTATCGACGCCATTTTTATAATTTACATTATAATTATGGAGTGTAGAGGTAAGGAGTACAGACTGTATAAAAAAGTGTCCGTAGGTAAGCGTTAAATAAGGGTGGCGCCACTGTAGCTGCAGTCTACATTTCAAAGAACTTTTTGTAATTTTTTTATTGCACAGACTCACCATAATTCTTTTTACAATAATTATTTTATTGCTTTCAAATTTTTTATTTTCAAAATCACTCTCAACGTATTTTACGGTGATTTATCATATGGCGATTTATCATATCGAGCGCTGTTGTGGAGAGTTTTTGAACTGTTATTTACTGCCATCCATCCATGTTATTTACGTCCATCCGTAAGATGGACACATTTTCAACTATTCTATGGGAGATTGTACTCCTTACCTCTATACTCCATGATTATAACAAATATTTTAGTTGTTTTTAGTATGTTGTTGTGTAGTTAGTTTTTTTTAATGTTCATTTTTTGAAATGTCCCTAATATATATATATATATATAGATTTATCACAAAGATCCTGTTTCAGTTTCCCCTATCGCATCTTAAGACATCCACGAGACGGTATGGGGTAGTGAATATTCTTACATCGCCACTACACGGTTAAATTGATAAATAACTGTCAAATTATGTTATTAACTAAGCCATTCGATGCTTGTCCCGACAGATAAGATTCTACTACCAACAAAATGGCAGGAACTACGGGTCACTGAGCGTGGACGTGGTGGAGATCACCAACAGGGGAAACCACACCACATCGCTTTGGTTCTCCACTAAAGACAAGGGCGAGAACTGGTACCGAGCGGCGATATTTCTTCCTAACGTTACTAGAAGGTAAATAGCAGATAGAAGATATCGTTAACTATAATTGTAATATTAGGACACTTCGTCCATTCTCAATATTTATTGTATTAACCTTTTATTAGATTTGGGTAAAAGTGATAGGTCAATTAAATATGCGTGCCAGGATATTTAAGTAGACATAGCCTACGTACCTACGGCCCAGCGTTCATCTCAGTGCTCAGCGTGAGTTTATCGACGACATTTTCATAGTTGAAATTATAGTAAATACAGTCATTGTTTTTTTATGTTGTTTTTTCGAAGTGTTTCCAATTCCAAATGCTTGTTTGCAATTTTTTAATAATTTAGTTATAGTATACGACTTTTAATAACTTTTAATACGACAGGTGGCTCAGAACCGTGCTTTGTGGCATACCTTGGGGGAGGCCTATGTTCAGCAGTGGACTTGTAAAGGGCTGTAATGATGATGATGATGATGATACGACTTTGTGTTTTTGTCTCTGTTCTATGTATGTAGTTTTGGTTTTATAGGGCGGCTAATCGTTAAGGTGATCATTTTTCCATCACTGACAAGTACGTTGTAAATCATCACTTAAAATCGTCTATTAATGCGCACATTTATCAACTACAATCTTCCAAAAGTCCACGGCTGAACACAGGTCTTTCCCATCGATTGCTTCATCTGCATCATCAAACATCTACATATTTGCCAAAGTTGGCGTGCTTTTCGATTAGGTTGGCAACACAAGTACATGTCGTATATAACGCATCGATATATATACTACGCACTAGATATGGTATTCCGAACACTCATTATGTTCAATTGAACTCTACTGCAATCCGTACACCTGTTATTGTGGCTTCGATATTCATGCAGTGCGGCGCGGCGCTAATAATAATTTTTATAATTAATTAGCACATATGCAAAATAAATGAAAATTAAAAAAATGTACTAGATTAAAAATACAATCTAAATAAACAATTATTTATTATGACAATTTTCGCGCGTTTATATCAACTGCGCATGCGCGACTCTATTGTTTCCCGCGCATGTGCGGATACAGAGTAGTGCACATTTTTTGTTTGGAATAGCTCTGAGGCAATCTATGGGGAGGTCTGTAGTTAATCTATAATAAGTGGATTTTAATACACTGTAATGATTAGCTGAATTTCTACTAACTGACCCATTGGTTTAGTGATTGTAAGCGCGACCGCTGATCGTGTGGTACAGGGTTCGAGTCCTTGGTCAGGCCAAAAATCAGTTATTGGGTTTTTCTGCCTATAAATTCTCAGTAGCAATTCCGTGTCCTCTTTGAATGTAATTACTGAACCAATATGTTTAAAACGTGAAATTTTTCAAGGAGATGCTCTTAAGTCCTCTGTGGTTTTGCATGGCCCTAAATCCACTTACAGACTTACTAGATAATACTGACATGGGATGTACATTGACAAAAAATATCACGCAATACTCCCTAACACACCTCATGTACATGGATGACATAAAGTTATATGCAGCAGAAAAAAAAACCACTATTCCAACTGGTAGACACAACACAACAATTTTCTCAAGAAATTTGTAGATATTGTAATTCGGAGTAGATAAATGTAAAATATTGTCTATTGTAAAAGGTAAGATTCCAATTAGATAATTCTTACACAAGTCGTGAATCAATTGAACCAATGAATGAGTACAGTACATACAAATACTTAGGTTTTAAACAGTCCAGACAAATTCAACAAAATATAAAAATACAGGAACTGCTCAAGAACCTCTCACATCGCCTCAAGAAGTTGGCGGTGTTTCACTCCATGCCTCGAAAAGCATGTAAAGCTATAGTGTCGGAGGATGAGAGTGAGGCAATAGAGAGTGCACCTGTGCTTGTGCATACACTTGGGCACTATAATCCTGTCCTGCACTGATAGCAGACTAGCTATCAGTGCAGGCCTTGAAACTGGCCGCGGTGGCTAAAATTCGGTCTGGAGGACATTTTTATCATCACAGGGATTAATTGGTCCATAAACCTCTTAGAAATGAGAGGGATTTTGAGCCAGGTTGTAAGACGGTATATAGGCTGCGACTTTACTTTGTTATTATCAACCTTTCATACTTCGAAAAACTCGGCAATCTTAACTGACATGTTGCTTTTTAAAAACACAACAATACCAAGTTTGTCTTTTTTCCAGATATTTCCTCGAGTTCAAGACTCGTATGGGTATGAGGATATATTCGGACTCTGCTATCGATGACTTCTCGATGGCCCCCGAGTGTTTCGGCCTGAATATTGACCCGAAGGAACTCGGGGACTATAACTATTATGATCAATCCTTAGAAGAGAAGACCGATCCTCACCCTGACTTTCTGGATGTACCCTGTAAGTATATTTACCAAAAACTGTACAGAACTTGTAACAAAACAAAAAGTCTAATCGGTACGGTTAGGTACACCCGGTATAAAAGCCATCCGGTTAGTACGGTCACTATCTGTAGTGTGTGTATGGTCACTTATTTACTATAGCAAAACGAGATCCGACACGTCTACTCAGGCCATCTTGTAGAACTACGTTATTCCAGTGGAATCGCCTCATAATGTGCATCAAGGTTTATAATGAAGTTCCTAAAAATATCCGTGAGCAGCCATTATGGCAAATGAAAAAAAGTTTAAAGCAATGGCCAATAAATACTGCCTTTTATAATATCAATGAATTCTTTAACCATAAATTTTGATTTTATTTTTATTGATTTTACTAAGGGGAAATATAATCTCAAATCTAGATCCTTGTGTTAAAGGATTAGTTGGTTTATGTCGATTCTAAAATTTTCTCATAGAAAATAATTAAAATATTATAAGATATAAACTTTCATATTATACTAAACAGTGCTTTGTTATTTACTTTTTTTAAATACCATTATTATGTAAAGCTCTTAATTTTTTTATGTTTTCCTAAAAACATAAATATAATATCATTACAGTGTTTATTTCTAATTTTATTTTTTTTAATTTAATTTTATACATTTGTATTCAACATATTTATTTTAAACAATTTTTACGCATGCCACAAAAGTCAAAACATGTGGAAACAAATATTGACTAAATCCATCCGTCTGGACCCATGTTTTTTAGCGAAATAATGATTTGATTTGATTTCTTTTAACTCTGAAACTACAACCTTCTTAGCATAGATGGCTCGGTGATGCGGTAGCTCTACTATAACGACGACATTTTAATAGTTGACATTGTATATAGTGTTGCCAGGTGTCCCGGTTTGTGCGGGACGTCCCGTTTTTCAGGGGTCTGGTGACACACATCCCGATTCACCCCCGATTTTTCACTAACCTTCTTCATACTTTGATCAATAATTTTTGTCGTCAATTCGACGATCAGTTATTATTTCATTCTATAAATAGTAAGTAGTACAGTACCTAACTTACACGCTGGAGTTAAGGTAAGTTTGTTGAAATACAAACGTCTTGTGAGTTAGTTCTACGGTAGAACTTACCCACAAGGCGTTTGTATTTCATAAAAATTGATTGTCATTTTTTCAAGCGGTTGTATTGTTAGTCTTGTCATTGTCTCAATAAATAAAATGACATTATGCGTACGATGCAAGGATTTTTGTTTGGGCGATTGAGGATCACTCATGACAGCCAAACAGGCTACAAAAATCGTGTTTTTTGTAGCCACTGTAGCTGTCCCAGTTTGAAAACCAAACTCCCGATTATTTTAACCTTCCGTCCCGAAATATTACACACTGGACCTGGCAACACTAATTATATAGTAAATATAGTCATTAAGTGTTTTGTTTTCTTTTTATGTTATTTTTTCGAATTGTTTCTAATTATTGCCAAATGCTTGTTTGGTATTTTTTGATATTTTAGTTATATAGTATACGACTTTGTATTTTTGTCTTTGTCTTATGTATGTAGTTTTGGTTTTATAGGGCAGCTAAGCTTAAGGTGATCTATTTACCATCATGTACCTTACAGTTACAGCCTATTAAATTACACTGCTGAACATTGGCCTCCATCGTAGATTACCTTATAAGTGAGATTTCTGCCATAGTTGCCACGTTTGGCAAACGACGTGGCAACCACTTTTTTATTTTTAGTCGTTATTAGGAAAACTCTGCTTCCCATCTTCTGATTAGTTTCCCTCCGTTGCCTCTCACGACACCCAAGGGATGTTATCGGGTAGTGGATATGCGTACACTACCACTGCTAGGTAACCGACGTACCTTAGAGGAAATGTTTTTAAATTTGGATCTTACAAAGTAACTTTATCTCAGACTATCGGTTCACAACGTGCGGTGCCACCGGCCGGTACGGTCCTAATCAGACAATGTGTGACATCGCTTACAACAACACTCCTGTCTCCGTGACCGTCATATCGGAGCCCCCCTACCAGGGCATACAAGTTTGGGAAGTACCTTCAGAAGGGCTTTACACGTGAGTATTACAAGCAAATAGCTTTTTACATAACACCCCCAACCCAGGTCAAAGGTCCCCAACCTACCCCCTACCCACATACATATGCTTTGCAATAGTTAACGTGTCTGTTAACTAAGTATATAGTCGTGTAACTTTTGAACGACACGACTGATTCAGATAGGGTTGCCAAACGCCCTGTTTTTTTAAAGGGCGTCTTCGATTTCACACCAAACAAGCGGTAAAATTAATAAAATAAAAAATAAAATTTTTTACAACCGACTTTAACATAAAAAAATGAGAACATCATCAATGTAGTCCCACGATTTCTAAACTGGAGGTAAAACTGGTATTCTGCGAGGGTAATAAGCTAGTAATAGATAACAAAGGTTAGACCAACAAAACCGAATATAGCAAATCCGTGCATTTTATTTCTTAACTGTACCAGAACATAGTTTAAGTTGGCGATATGTCGATGTTGTGACACAGTTTCGTGAGCAACTGGAACATGACAAAGCTGGCAAAATCACGTTTGAAAATTCCGTACTTCAGCGTTTATCGCCAGTTATAAACTCACTGTAACAATGGATAATCGTCAGCCGAACTCTTGGATATTAAGACCATTTTCTACTGGTGACATCATTTTTGAGGATGAATATATATCAGCCAAAGTAAGTGCTACTTTCCATCGGACTTACATCGGATAACGCGAGGATAATACTTTAAAACTGGAATCCCAAAATTATAATCTCTGTACATTTTAACGAAAATTAGGTATTGAATATCCTATCATAGCGGACAGCTACTATCAAAGTTTGAAGAGATAGTTCTTTGAACAGTGCTATTACTTATAGATGTGACAGTGGTTCCCAACTTTAGTGACACTAAAAATAAAGGCCAGAAATCGTCTCAATGTAGAACATAACTTGAGATGCACTTTAATCTCTTAGTTAATCACTAAACTTGTTTCTGTAAGCAAACAACACCAATTTTAGGTTAGCTTAAGTTTAAGTTTCTTAAGCTTGCCTTGTTTATGAAGACGGGCGAAACGGCTTGCGACCTTTCAATGCAGAGGAATTAGTATTTATTTACCATAAATTAAAACTAGTGCTCGTATTACTTCTGTACTAATTTTCTAAATTTTAAAATGAAAATTTTGTGATTACTGCTTATATTTGTTTAGTGACTTTTTATATAAGTTAGGGTGACAAACGAGCCCCACAGTCCACCTGATGGTAAGTGGTTGCTGCGGCCCATAGTCGTGGACTAAGATGGAATGCCTCGTTTCCATTAAAAAGGGTCTCCGGTACTCTACACTCACCATACGAAACACAGCAGCATTAAGCTACTGTTTCACGCTGGTATTCTGTGAGAGCGTGGTCCTTTCGTGCTGACTGTACCCGACCCATTCGTGCTACAACTATACTTCTAATATAACTGCAGCATGGCTTTACCACGTATAAATACTGCGACTATAAAGTACTTATTAAAATATTTTGTATTTTTTAATCCGATATCCTTTTGGTATCTAGTGTCCGGCCAGATAGTAGTTTAGGCCAGATAGACCGAATGCCGGATAGTTACCGGATATCCCTTTCATCTCTAATACAGAGTGTAACTGTAATGAACTTTTGTACCCAGTATAATAGCGACGGGCGGGTCCGGCGGGCTGGGGTCCGCGTGGGCGGGCGTGTCGCACGCCGCCCAAGTGCGCGGCCTGTTCGAGCTGCACCGCGGCGAGCTCCTCTACATGCTCGTCGGACAACAGGGACACAACGCTTGCAAGAAGGTGGCTACAACTTACTTTATACGGGACTTTGACGGGATGATGATGATGAAATTTTTATTAAAAGTATACCTTGAAAATGATTCGTAGTTTTGGGGGCGTGGCTTAGCACTTTGTCAGTAAAGCTCACGGACGACTGAGGTAATGTCAAAATGAAAGTGATTCAATTACTTCATGTACGTAAATTGTGAGATAGGTATACTGCGCACGTGTTTGGAAATACACTACGTAAGTGCCAAGCAACATTTTTTTAGCAAAACTTCGTTAGGAATAAAAAAATGGTTTATGTGAACTTTATATGATTATTTGCTATGCTTTAAAAATAATTTCATGAACTTATTCGTAAAAATATTGTGGTGGCATTTTCTATCGAAAAAATTATATGTCAACCTTGATCATTTTGTTATGCAATCAAAGGTCATACACTCCAAAACACATACAAAAAACTTGGATGGTAATCTATAAAACTTAAAGAAATATGTGAAATAAATAAATCACCCAATTTTGGAGGTATCACCTTAATTTAAATTCTTTGTTTTCTGGGGTCAACGTAATTCTTATCTTAAGACTTCTTGAAATTGTAAATGCTAACATACATATTTTTTAAAGATATTCGTAATCTCCCACAGACACTGTCAGCACAAGAGAGCCAAGAATGTTCGCGAAGACATTTGAATGAGTCCTCGCAGATTTACACGAGCAAGACACACGAAGTTCGAAACACTGAAGTGAACGACGGCGGTGGTGGGGGAGGGGGAGCTACTTTTATATTTATAGTGAGTAGTTCTTATAAACAGTTCGATATCTGCCTTTTTTATAGAATAAGGACGATAAACGAGCACACCTCATGGTAAGAGGATGGTATCTACCCACACGAACTCATAGCCAGACAAAGTCCTGTTTAGAAACAACGGTTTCAAGAACTATAAATAGTAGTAGATTTTTTTATCCAATATTAAATAGTTACTGAAAGTTTTTATGTTTAATTTACTAATTTTTCGGAATATACAGGGTTATTTTTCAAAGAGTAGCCAAATTTTAAACTTAAGTTCATGGGCGAAATTTCGCTTGACACTAAACCTGCTCGGGGCAAACGGAGCAATAAATCAAAGGCGCCCCCTGCCACGCTATCCGTAGATTTCTGCAACATCAGGGGACTTCATTCAAACCTTAACGCCATCCACTACCATCTGCAAACGGCGAAGCCAGCCTTGCTCTTTCTAACCGAGACACAGGTATCCTCTCCGGCTGACACTTCATATCTCTCCTACTCAGGGTACAGATTAGAGCGCTCTTCTGTGCCCCGGGCTGGAGTTTGCGTGTAAGTCAGAGAGGACATCTGTTTTCGACGCCTCGACAGCCTTGAAGGTACGGACCTGTCCATCTTATGCGCTACGCGTAGACAGCGACCATCCCCGCGTCTACGGGTGCCTATATAGGTCCCATAGCGCTAATTCCGACACAGACCGACTGATCGACCACGTCCGGATGGCTGCAGACTTCAACAGATCCCATCCGCAGAGCTCGTGATACCTAGTGATTTTAACGCCCACCATACTGAATGGCTTGGTTCTCGATTAACCGATCATGCGGGTAGATCTGTTTATGAATTTGCTTTGGCATATGTTCTAACACAACTGGTTACCTCGCCTACGCGGATCCCAGATGTGGAAGATCATGTACCTTCCCTGTTGGACCTTCTGCTGACCTCTCATCCGAACGGATATTCGTTGATACCCCTCTTGGCTCCTCGGACCATTTTTTGATCTGGAGTACGGTGCCACTTACGCTCCCATCGCGGTTGCGTACTGCAAGTTGCCGCCGTGTTTGGCATTATAGGTCAGCCGATTGGGACGGAATGTGATCTTTTTTTTGAATCATACTTCGTCTCTGATGTGGTGCTAGAGGGAACGAAACTATTTATTCCATCATTGGCGAGAAACTTGTTCGTCTTCCTTCGGGAACACGTGCATTCTGGTCTCTCGCCAAGGCTGTCCAAGGGAACTTCTGTCAGCCATCTCTTTCATCTCTGCACAGGGAGAATGACTCACTGGCCCATGCCGTAAAGGAGAAAGCCGATCTACTGGGCTCTCTCTCGTCGACCATCCCGCAGTGTGAGTGCTCCGTGCAGGATGTGCTGTTTACCCAACGCTCGGTGCGCAGAGCACTCACTCTCTCTAGACATCAACAAGTTGAGTGGGCCTGATGGCGTACCTCCTATTGTGCTGAAGACGTGTGCTCTGGAGTTAGCACCGGTCTTAACGTGTCTTTTCCGGTACTCCTACTTTGGTACTACTACTAGGCGTAGTCCCGAAATCATGGAAGACAGCTTTTATGAACCCGATCCCTACAAAACGTAACCGCTTTGATCCGTCCAACTAGAGGCCTATCGCCATCACCTCCTTGTTCTCTAAAATAATGGAATCTATTAATAACAGCCAGCTCATGCGGTAACTTGAGGATCACCAGCTGATTAGTGTCCGCCAGTACGGTTTCCGTCGCGGTCACTCGGCTGGTGATCTTCTACGTTACCTAACTCATAAATGAGCGAAGACAGTAGAGTCCAAGTAGGAGGCGTTGGTCGTTAGTTTGGACATAGCGAAGGCCTTCGATCGGGTTTGGCACAAAGCGCTTCCTACGAAACTTCCTTCCTATGGGCTTCCCGAGAAATTTTTCAATTGGATCACCAATTTTCTTGCTGATCGGAGCATCAAGGTCGTAGTAGACGGTACATGCTCCGATTACAAGCCCATTAACGCTGGTGTTCCACAAGGCTGCGTGCTATCACCAACGCTGTTTCTTCTGCAAATCAATGACATGTTGCAAATCGGTAGCATTTATTGCTATGCAGACGTGAGTACCGGTTATGCTTTATACACCGACCGTGCCAATATTTCTCGGAAAAACGTTGCCGAGTACCAGGACAAACTTGTGTCTGAAGTCGAGACTTTGTTGAACAAAATCTCGGACTGGCGTCGACTAAATCTAGTCTAGTTAATCCCCAGAAGACACGTTGCGCGTTTACCGCTAAAAAGAACTCCTTTGTCGTATCTCCTCAGTTTCAAGGCACTCCCCTTCATGCCTCACCCAGTATCGGAATCCTCGGCGTCGACATATCGACTGACATGCAGTTTCGTGGTCACTTGGAAGAGAAGGCCAAATCGGCCTCTAAAAAGCTTGGCGTGTTCAGCAGAGTGGGACAGTATTTCATGACGGCTCACCGCCTGCAACTTTACAAGGTGCAGGTTCGGCCGCACATGGAATACTGTTCCCATCTCTAGGCCGGGGCTCCCCATTGCCAGCTCCTTCCATTTGATCGCATCTAGCGCCGGCAGTTCGAATCGTCGGCGACCGATTTCCTTCCAATCGGCTTGACTCAGTGGCACTGCGAAAAAGATGTTGCATCTCTTTGTGTATTTTATCACATCTACCACGGGGGTGCTCTGAGGAATAGTTCGGACTAATTCCAGCTGCACAGTTTCACCATCGCACATTGCGGCAAAACTTTTTTTAAAGCGTTTTCAAAGAAGTTTTCATCCTCACACAACTTCCTTGTGGAATTGACTACAACCAGAGATTTTTCCGGACCGATACGACTTAGATACCTTCAAGAAAAGATCCTGTGGCCGTGGAAAGAAAAGGGGAGATCTCCCGCCGGGCAAGGTGTTCTGCCCGGGGAGCGGCCAACACTCCATGTGATAGTTCGGAGATGTTCTATATATACTGTTTCTGATTCGGAATGTTGATAGCGTGATTTAGACTTCGGTGTATTTCGATTGTGGCGCGACGACAGCGCCGCTACATCACCCCCTGCTCAGACCGGAGGTCGATAGTGCAGTCGAGTTGTCGACGAATGTGCAAGTGCCAGGAGATTGCCTTGTAGTCTGCGGTGAGTCGAGAAGAAGGCAAGTAATCTACGAGAGTGCCGTGAAGCAGAGGCGAGCATTAAGGCTCAGAGCCGTGCCGAACACTGTATGGCGCAGAGAGTAGCTTGAAGGAACAGGAAGCATTATTATTCCAGTGCTGCGATGAACCTTGTGAAGCTAGATGGCTTGCAGGATATGAAGACTGCAGTTTATATCTGCTCGGGAGCGAATGGGTGGGGTATTCTATGACGATGATGAAGCTTGAAGTTTCCGAAGGTTGTTTGGTTGCCGTGTTCAGATCACGTCGGGGTCACCACTGTGGCCGTGGAAAGAAAAGGGGAGATCTCCCGCCGGGCAAGGTGTTCTGCCCGGGGAGCGGCCAACACTCCATGTGATAGTTCGGAGATGTTCTATATATACTGTTTCTGATTCGGAATGTTGATAGCGTGATTTAGACTTCGGTGTATTTCGATTGTGGCGCGACGACAGCGCCGCTACAATCCTATTCCTTTTTAAAAGGCCGGCAACGCAATGCATCTGCAATCCCCCCTGGTGTTGCAGCTGTTCATGAGCGGCGGTAATCACTTACCATCAGGTGAGCGGTATGCTCGATTGCCCCCTCTCCTATAAAAAAAACTAATTCCCAAGTTTTTAATCAAACCTTTTGATCCAGTAAACGACCATACAAAATTCTCATTTAAAAAACACAAACTCTTACCTTCGAACACGAGAAGTATTAAACCTCCTTAGAATCTCTCACCTCAATCCTGAAGAGGCAAACGCTCTTCACGATGTTTGCTCTGAATACTCAGATATATTATTTATTCCCGGTGATAAACTTTCCCACACAAATGCCCTTAAGCATAACATAAAAACTAGCGATCAAAATCCAATAAATGTAAAATCTTATCAGTTCCCAGACGTACACAAACAAGAATTCCTGCAGACCAGCGAATCATAAAACATTCAGTCTCCACGATCTTCGCCAATTTGGATTGTCCCAAAAAAAGTTGACGCATCTTGACAGCAAAAATGGCGTATAGTTATCCATTATCGAAAACTAAATGACATCACTGTTGGAGGCAGCTACCATATACCGTAGATATATGAAATTTAAGATCAGCTGGATCAGAGTAGATACTTATCGATCCTTGATCTAGCGTCAGGATTTCACCAGATTTTGATCTATAAAGAAGACTCTCCTAAAATGGTCTTTAGTGTACCTCAAGGACATTACCAATTTTCAATAATGCCATTCGAATTAAAAAACACGCCTGCTACCTTCCAACGATTAATGAATACCGCTCTCACAGGCCCTTAAGGCATGCGGTGTTTTCATGATACATCATGCCAATTCTATTTTTACCTCAAAATTATTATGGGGTAGGAGAATCTCGCCACCCGACCTACCAATAGAAATATACTTACCTTGATTTATGTAATTTATACATATACTTTTTAGAAATATTATTTTTATAATTTTATATATAAAACAACAATGTATTCTATTATTTTTTATTTTTTGTCACTGGGAGGTGTAGTGTAGCCTCCACGACAATGTTACTGTTTAGTTTGGAATAGGGCAGTATAATTAAAGTTAATAGCAAGAGTAATACGCCTCTTTTTTCAAGTGTACACCTTTTCAACGTTACAAAGGATTAGGACAAAATTCGTTGATTAGAAAATATTTACTCACTGGACCTCACTACATCCAACCGGCATTTTATAGATGCGCCTACATATTGTAAATTAATTTTACAGAAAAGTCCCGCTACGTTTCTTACGAATTCTGTCCAGGCCAGGGTTTTTTCCGAACCAATCGAAAAACTTAAATAACTTTTAAAAAAGCGTTCTTGTGAACTCCACTGAATAAAAAATTTAAGACTCTTAAGAATTATGTTAGTTGGTATTTAGTAGTAGTTATGATTTAGTATTCAAAATAAAAACTACCCTCTTTTAAATTACTTAAGGGGCGTCACTTTTTGTACAATATAATTCTTGTGGCATGCAAGTTATGTAAATCAATAAACTTTTAATAAAAATTAAAGCCGACTTCAAAGAACTAAAATAATAGAATTATTTATTAATTATTTATTTAATCTTTAAGGGTCACAATAAACCTTCATCTAAGAGTTACAATGGGCGAACTTAATACCTTATGGCATTTTCTACCAGTCAAACCTGAGTGAAATATGTCGCACTTTGAGGTCAGGGCTTTCATTCTTCTTTACACTATCTTTCCACCGGCTTCAGAATGTGAAATGATTTTATTCTTTTTTAGCTCTCTGAAGTCGGCCTTTAATTTTTTGTGAAAAGTTATTTTTTATCCTTTTGAGTGTATTTAGGTCCTTATATTTAGTCCTTAGGCCTAAATAGTTATATTAAAAAATTCATTCCCTATTTTTCATTCTTATTGGTAGCGTTTATTTTCCAATTTGACCTTTGAAGTGTAACCTATTTAATACAAGTGGTAAAACTAAAGATTTTGTACAACCGTCTTCAATAGAAATAAACTGAGAACATCGTCAATGTAGTCGAAGTCATTTAAAAACGCATTATAAAGATTGCTCAAAAACTACTGGTCAGATCTTGATCATATTTATATGGGGTTATATGAGTGAGCACAGCTTTCAAATATAAAAAAGAATCATCAAAATCGATCCACTTAAAAAAGGTTCTAAGGTAACACCCATAAAAAATACAGCCTAAATGAGAACCTCTTCCTTTTTTTGAAGTCGGTTGATAAAATAATCAAATTCGGCCCACGATGGCATCCATGACTTTTTACCACCATGGCGGCGTCATATTGAGAGGAGGTCAAATATTTGCAAAAGAAAATTAAAACTACTGAGACGCCCATTGTTTTCTGTTCTCACTTTAAAAAGTGATAAATTTTTATTTAAAAGTAATTTTTTATTAAAATGACACTGTGAAAGAAAAAAACTTTACTTCAGTCTCAGCCAGCTAAACGTAGTGAGCGAAAGATGAGCCTTCATTGACAGAGAAATCGATTAAGATAATATAAGATAATAATAAGATAAATACATACAAACATATCTCTTCCTTTTTTTTAAGTGGGCTAATAAATTATTACATTGAATTGAATGGTGACGTATGTGCAGTTGGACAAGGCGGGCGCCCCGGTCCCGCTGCTGGTGGCAGGCGGCGGTGGCGGCCTGAGCGTGGGCGCCTTCCGCGACGATGGCTCGCAGCACGCCAAAGGACTCACGGACGACGCGCCCGAGTCCGGCTACATGTACGGACCGCCGGGCCGCACCTCCGGTCAGTGCAGTACACTTCCGCTTTTTGCAGTAAACTTCGACGATTATAAAAATTCTGAATGTTTATATGAAAATAAAGGAAATATTGGGAAATACAAAAGGATAACAGTAGACAAAACATAACATGTTGTGCATCATCAGTGCCATATAGATAGTTAAACAATTATTAGCGTGTTTTTATTTGCTTCGTGAAGTAACAAATAGTACAGCGGTAAAGTTTTATTAATCCGCTCATATTGCGTAAACGTATAGTTAACTAAGAGACCTAATCTGTGGTGTAAGTAATTTACTTCAACTTAAAAAATATACGAAGTTATTACTAAATTAATTTTGAAATTAAGTAAAATAACGTTTGACTGTACATTGCTACGAGTTACCGCTGCCCGCTTCTGTGTGTGACTCATATCATGTTGCTTTGTACTACTTTTACATGTTTGAAGCTTTTTTTTTAATACATAATATATGAAAGAGATCTTAACGACAATTATTTAAATAATATTCACACAAGAATGGTAGCTAATTCTTTTGATGTTATCGTGGAAATTCTAACTAGATCAGAGGATTTTAAGAATCCTAAAAAGCTGGATGCCACACAGGGAATCGGTCAGCACAGATATTATACTTTCACAACTTTTATTAACCTGTGCAGATGGGATGACTTTCCATTATCTTTTCTATATAATCGATCTCTTGAAATGGGTATATTCCCTGATAAATGGAAATTAGCAAGGGTAGTCTCTCTACATTTAAGAATGGAGCAAAAGATTTAGTAGTTAACTATCGTCTAATATCCATCGTGACAACAATATCAAAAGTATTTGAGTCATTACTTCACTCCCAATCACTACATAATGCAAAAGCAGCATGGATATATTTATGTCAAGAAGGTCCACCAACATTAACCTAATTGTCTTCACTTCAAAATTAAAAGAAACCATAGCTAGAACAAGGATTACTAGTTGACACCGTCTGTACAGATTTATCAAAGGCCTTCGACTATGAATTACAGAATCCTGAGTCATTAATTATACTTATTCAGAATTACAGCTAATCTAATGGAATGGTGTAAATCTTATGTTTTAAATCGCTTTTCTATGTTTGTAATTGATAGCGAACAATCTACGTTATTTGAAGTATTTTCAGGAGTTCCCCAGGACTCAATTTTGGGACTATTATTCTTTAACGTCTTTGTCAATGATATAACACGTGTGGTTAATGACAGTGTTTTTATAGCTACATTAAACAGAACCAGTATTAGATTGTTAAAATCAACGTTTGCTATTTACAAAACAGTGAGCTAGTGTTCTCGCCCATTCGCAGTAGAGTTGCGCGATGTATTAGTACTGTTTGCTTTGTGGAGGATTAGATGTAAGAGCCTGTTGTTCTCAGGAGCGGGCGGCGGGTGGAGCTCGCGCGGCGGGCCGAGCACGCCTGGGCACGAGCTGGTGCGCGGTGCGGCACTGCTGGAGGGTGGCGCGGGCGGCGCGGCGTGCTCAGGCGCGGCGCGCGGTGGCTTCGGTGGCGGCGGCGGCGGCTGCCTGCGCGGCGGTGGCGGCGGCGGCTGGCTCGGTACCAATCACTCATTACAATTGCTTTTTTTATGTCGTAACATTGGTTACAAGGCTTTTAGCCAAAAATTAAACCAAAAAATATTATGCGTGTAAATGTATACACCACACGAAACTTCCTTACGACACATCATTCTTCTTTTATTTTATATTTTACATATGTAAATTATATAATTATATAGGTACTGCAACAACCCCAACAGTCAAAATTACAAGCAAATTAGACACTTTTGTTTTTTAATATCGTACTAAATTTCTCTAAGAAGTTTCACTTTAAAAGAAGGTAAAACACTTGAAATGTATTTAAAAATGTCGACGTATAAAATGATAACGATATTGACAATAATGGCTGTTGACGACGCTCACGTTGCTTCTCGAACACCTGAAATATAAATAATATTAATCAATAAAAAATAAAATATGTAAAATATATACTCATAAAACATTGTTACTTACCTTATGTACTTGCTGTTTTTCTATAATAAATAAGTACGTGCGCATACGGGGACGGTGGCACTTACCGCGATTTTTATCGGTAGGGGAAGGTATATTTGCAACAACGGTGTTGCACCGCTGAGTACATGATCCCGCGTTTCGAGTTAGTTGCACTAGAACATCATACGAGGTGACACCTATGTCTCCCTCCCCGCGGATGTACACGCGCTCACCAAATTTTTTTTAGTATATTTTTTCTCCCAGACGACACCAGCGGCCTACATCATCAACATAGTGGTCCTTCGGCCGAATCCTTACGTCGTCTGCAAAAATATAATAATAATAAGTACCAGTTATGTTCCACGCGCCGGCTACGCCGCAAAAAAAGCGACGACCACGTGGCACCGCTGCAAAATCGGAGTGCAAGAACAACCAAGATGTGTTACCATCGTTCAGCTTAAAGGATGAAGTGCTGGAAAAACCTGGAAATGCGCTAAGTGCCTCTAGTAAGAGTAAAAAGTCATCAAAGACCGCAGGCACGTCGTCAAGTACGGCACGCAAACGGCAATTGGAATACGAAACCGCTAAAGCTATGGCTCTCGTGGAAATACAAGCAGCGGAAGCTGAAGTGCAAGCAGCTGAAGCAGAAGCCAAAGTTAAGAGTGCTCAGGCAGAAGCTGCCAAGCTTAAGGCAAATATTCAGTCGAAGCTGCTAAACAAACAGCTTGCAGCTGAGATGGCAGAATTGGAGTCTCATTCACGCTCTTCCCACAAGTCGGCTATGAAATCTTCGACCAGCAAAGTTGAAAATTGGCTGAATGCTCCAGGAAACCAGCATGAGGAGAACCGAGAAGAGTACTCTTGTGAAAAAATCGGCCTAGAAAAGCTGGCACATGCCTTGAATGATGCAGTGGCTGACAAGATTAGCAACGTCTAAAGACCTGCCTTTATTTTTTGGAGATCCAATGGAGTGGTTGCAGTTTAAACAGGCGTACCAAGAATCTACCCAATTATGCAAATATAGTGACACAGAGAATTTATGGCGGCTACGTAAGTGTCTTCGTGGCGATGCTAAAGAAGCAGTGACTTCACTCTTGATTGGTGGAACTACACCCGATTTAATAATTGACACCTTAGAACTTCGATTTGGCAAACCAGAAACAATTATGAGTAAAATAGTTTTACAGCTTAAAAAACTATGTCCGTTGCCGTTAACTTATCATAATGATATCATTAATTTTGCAATAAAAATAAAGAACTATGTGGCTGCTGCCAAAGCAATGCAACAAAGTGATTATCTTCGCAGCCCGGAGTTAGTATCGATGGTCGTATCTAAGCTTCCAACTTTGCTTGTCGCAAAATGGACCGACTACGTTTATGAACAGCGAGAGTGTAATTTACCGAAGCTAGAATTGCTTAGTGATTTTTTATATGAGGAAGCCACTAAAACAGCTGCATCAGGAGTAAGTCATATTCACGCTCAATATAATTTAAAGAAGCCCGATGAACGTAAACACCGTTCACACTCGCTGTTGTACACAAATAGTAATCAATTACAAAACGCGGAAAAGTGTAAATTTTGCCGAAAATGGGCTCATGGTGTCGCAGATTGTTCACGGTTTAAGCGCGCCTTACGCAAAGATCGCTGGCGATTTGTACGCGTAAATAAACTTTGCTTCAAATGTCTTGCCCCCCGCCATACGAATGGTATGTCTTGTATTGGCAGTAATTGCGACATTGACGGCTGCAATCAACCGCATCATCGTTTACTGCACTGGATTAAACCATTGGAAGAAAGCTTAAAAACTGTGGAGCGAAGTGAGGATGAGCATCCCAGCACCAATGAAACAGTGACTCATACGGTGGCATCCCACTGTCACAAGGTGCTTTTGAAAGTGGTGCCGCTCACTCTTCACGGACCGAATGGCAGTTTGCATACGCATGCACTACTGGATGATGGAGCTACCGTGACGGTGATATCCTCTGATATCGCAGATGAGCTCGGATTATACGGTGCAAACGTGATATTGCGCGCGCGCAGCGCATGGGACTCTGGCGAGCTTGTGTGTGAATCTCAAGTAGTGAGTGTTAGTGTTACCAATTCGTATAACGAAATGTTTACTTTCCGTGCGCGTAAAATTAAAGAATTAAATTTACCAACACAAAAAGTGCCGAATATGGACTTTAATAATTATGGATTGTTAAGTGAAGATCTTATGTTATGTAATTGTAACGCTAAGCCAAAATTATTAATAGGTCAGGACAACCATCATTTAATTTCTCCCATTCGTTGTGTTCGTGGTAAGTGTATATACAATGTACTCTGTGGTGGTAAGCAGCGTGAGCCGTACATAACTCAAACTGCGCTTGGATGGTGTGTGCACGGATATATGGTAAGTGATGTTAATTGCACTGATCGCTTTGTCTCTTTCATTAATAGTTGCACCGAAAAGGCGGGACAGTCGCAGTGTATCTTTCACTTACACACTGTAGAATCGATTGCTAGCGATCTCTCTCTCGATAACGATAACGGTGAATGCACCTGCGCGCAGTTGCACGATGCGGTTCGTAGATCCTTCGCGTTAAGAGTCTATTGGCGTAGGTTCGAAGCCGCGCCGCAACCCAGACGTAATACGCGCTTTACAAATTTTAGATGACACTGCAGAATTAGTAAATGGTCAATGGAATGTCTGCTTACCGTGGAAATACGATGAATTACATTTACCCGACTCTTACCCTAACGCTTTTAATCGTCTAAAGTCAATAGAAAGAAAATTTTTGCTCAACAAAGAGTATGCAACTCGTTATTGTGAAAGAATGAGATACTTATTTTCTAATGGTTATGCTAGAGAACTTAATGAGACCGACGAAAACTCTAATAAACGTATAATATGGTATTTGACGCACTTTGGTGTAGATAATCCAAATAAGAAAAAACTGCGTTTAGTTTATGAAGCGGCAGCAAAGTCGAACGGTTATTCTTTAAATGATTTTCTTTTACAAGGCCCTGATTTGTTACAATCGTTATTAGGAATAATGTTACGATTTAGAGAAAACCGCGTAGGTATCATAGGGGACATAAAAGATATGTTTTTAAGGATTAATGTACGAAAAGAAGATGTTAATTCTTTGCGTTTTTTGTGGAAAGATATCTATTTAAGCAATGAAAATGAACAATTAGGCTTCGGAAGTAGTAACAAAGGTTCAAAATTACCTATACAACATTCTGTTAAGAAATATGTTATGACGTCATTAATTTTTGGCGCTAACTGCTCCCCATTTATAGCACAATATATTAACCAAAATAAAAACACATTGCGCTTTCAGAATAAAATGCCGGATGCAGTTAATGCAATTAGGAAAAATCAATATATGGACGATTTTATCGATAGTTTACCAGACGTCGCTACTGCTACAAAAATGATAAAAGATGTTTCATATATTAATCAGCAAGGTGGTTTTGTGATGCGTAACTGGTTAAGTAACAAGTCAGATGTTCTTAATGATATGCCAAAAGAGACTTTAAATGACATGGCGATACGGTTTAATGTTGAATCCCAGCCGGAACGAACGCTTGGGCTTTTGTGGTTTCCCGCGAGTGATATGTTCGGGTTCGATCTTTCGTTAAAGCGTATACCGAGTGATATTTTACAACTATCACGAAAACCGACTAAGCGTGAAGTTCTTCGTATTATAATGTTTGTATATGATATTCATGGTTTTTTAGCACCTTTTACGATAAAATCCAAAATTTTAATGCGCGAAATATGGAATGTAGGTATAAAGTGGGATCAGGAAATAACAGATAGTTTATTTGTTTTATTTAAAGATTGGATTTCGCAGTTACAAGAAATGAGTTACGTTCGAATCCCGCGGTGGTATTTCTATAGCAACGATTCTGTCGGTGTGAATGAGAAGAGCGGCCACACCGTAAACGACGATGAGACGTCGTTGCAATTGCATATTTTTTGTGATGCATCTCCATGCGCATACGCATGTGTTGCTTATTGGCGTAAACAAGACAGCAACGGCGTGCAGGTGTCATTCATTGCGAGTAAAAGTCGCGTTGCGCCGTTAAAACCGTTAACTATGCCTAAACTCGAACTTCAAGGCGCGCTATTAGCATGTCGCTTGGCAGAGACTATAAAAAAGGAGCATAGAATTAAACCGTCACGTGTTTTTTATTGGACTGATTCAATGATTGTTATTTATTGGATACGTAACGAGCATAGAAATTACAAAGTTTTTATTGCAAATAGGTTAGGTGAAATTGATGAGTTAAGTAAAATTGATGAGTGGCATTATGTGCCGACAAATTTAAATATAGCGGATTTAGCTACAAAAAATAATGATTACGACTTCAACAAGGACTCCTCTTGGTTAACGGGTCCATCTTTTCTGTACACGGAAGAAAAGTATTGGCCCCGAGAGCCTGAAAATAACGAAAAGAGCAACAATGAGCTGTTAGATAAAATATATGTAGTAATAAAATCACCAAAGGAGAATTGTAATAGTATTTATGATTTACCTATTCCGGATCCAAACCGTTTCTCCGTGTGGCTGCGCTTGCTTCGCTGCACCGCATCTGTACTATTATTTATAGAAAAATGTAGAAAAACCGGTACTCGGCGTATTAATAATTTGTTAATGAATAGAGCCGA